TTTATTCCTCTTACAATTTGATTTTTTAATGAAATTCGAGTCTTAGCGAACATTAAGAACTATAAAGATTTCGCTGTAAAGATTATTAATCTTAAAAAAGTATTTTGTAATGTTATGTATATATACCAATTGTTAATTTCATTAGTTATATTCTTTGTACGACATGATCCGATTGTAAAAAAATAAAATATTTGAACTCATGGTAGTGATTAAAATTATTGAGTCGCAACGAATAACTTGTTAGTTAAACCTTTTTTTTTTATAATAGCTAATGAAATAGTCAATAATAAAAATTGAGCTTTTGGACCTTGACCTTGGCTATATTTTTTTTTTAACTGAGCCACACAATTATTTGATTTTTTGTATACTTATTGCCAATATAGATGCGGTCAAAACTCATTTTAACAAATAATAACCGGCAAATAGTCGAAATCTTATACCTCGACTTTTCATTATTGATCTTTTATGATTACAACAATTTTTCCGTCGAAACCTACAGGATCGCTTAATAAATTTTCATCTCTTTATGTGTATAGCATTCTTTATTCACCTAAGTTTTATATTTTTGTATTTTCATTTTCAGTTTCATTTATATTTATTTCTTTAATTAGTTTATTTAAAAATAAAAGTCCCATTGAGAAATGTTTTAGATTTCATTAACTCATTAGAATATAAGCGTTATAATACAAAAGAAAATTTTTCCATTTTCCTATGCTTATTTACCGTATTATGGATCATGTTAACCAGACTTGTGGTAATGGAGGCGAGTGTCCTTTCTTTTCTAACGTTTCATACTTTATTAATTAGGACGCCAAACTTGAACTATAATATGACACTAGTTGTCTTTTCAATATAACTTGAAAAAGTTGGAAGGAAATAAAACAAGTTTTATTCCTGCATTATAATAATTCAATATTCGATAAGGATTTCGTATTATTATTATTACTATTTAACTTGAGGCACAGCAACCATAAATTCGACATTTAGGTCCAATTTCAATTAACGCAAACTACAATGTGCACAAATCAGAAGTTGTAAGCATTAAATAAATAAAAAAGATGCCAGTGTCAAAAGAAACATATTTTTTATGGCGTTGAATGTCGCCGAGGAATTTTTTTAATTATTTTTCTAAGAAACACTTTCTTTGAAGATGCAGAATTAGGCATAACACCTTTTATATTTCATTTATTTACTAGAAACTAGTACAGTGCATTGTTACCTCTAAGTTTTGTATTATGTATCAATGTACAATTTATCAATGATAATTAACAAAAAGAACAGAATTCTATTATGAAAAAATCTCCTCAGCAGGCGCTATGTAATTGGCGTAAGAGAAGGTCCCAATTTCTCTTTTAAGAGTAACTAAATAATCTTTACTTAAAATATCAGGCTATATAATTCGGATCTATTAGTTAAAGCTTCAGAATGTCGAATTTACAGAATCAATCGTCACGGCGCCGCAGCTTCTAAGCAAAGCTTAAATAACATTTTTAATTTTATCCAGTAAATGTCATTTTATATTAATAAATAAATATTTTTTAATTCAACATTGTCAGAACATGATTTATTTATTTATTGTCCTCAAAATATTAAAATTGAACAAAATTACTAGCTCAAATTCGGAATGTTACTGTTTTTTGTGTTGAGAATTTCATATACAGAGGGAGGACAAAAGTTTCCGGACACTTTTTCACCAAATAAAAAACTTATAATTCTTTAGCATTAATAGTAAAAATTCTAATATTATTTTATTTAGAGCTGGTTAAGGCATACATTTCATATTAAACTTTAGTACTTGGTTGGGCCTCCCTTTGCCGCAATCACAGCCTGAATTCGCTGTGGCATGCTATCGACTAAATTTTCAATAGGATGTATTGGAATTTCTCGCCATGCCTTTTTAACATAGCAGTTGAGGTCAGCGATTCGATGGTGGTTTTTTATATGCACGAATGTTTTTTTTAATATCAGCACATAAATTTTCAATTGGGTTAAGATCAGGACATTGGGCTGGTCAAGTAAAATATGAGTCCGTGTTGTTCTTTGGTTAATTCTTTATTTTGTCCCATTATTTTTCGATTTAGTCGAGATTAAGTGAATTAAGTCAAAACAACAAAAGCAACACAAATTTTTTTATTTTGATTATGTAAATAAACAATAGACGGTCATATAACCGCAGTATAGTATCATAATTATATGATGAAAATTTGTTAAATCGCATTTATAAAGGTGTCCGGAAACTTTTGTCCACCCTCTGTAGTACAATTTTAGATTTTTCTGAAATTATAAAATTTTGACTGCCTTTAAATTCCTAAATTCGGAAGTAGAAGTGAATATTATTTATTAAATCTGAACAAAAAAAAAAATTTTTAGATAAAATATTCAAACATAAACAATTTGGATATCTTTTTTATATCATTTCATATGAAACATTTAAAAGCAACAAAACTTGAAATTATAAATTACTTGTAACGTTTTTTTATCATTCTTTCGCGTCACATGATTCATTGTTGAAAATATTCGCTTATTTTCTTTTTTTTTGATGTAGTAACTTACACAAAATAAAATGACTTGATTTAGTTATTAAACTTCCATGTACTTAGAATTTTATACATGCTATTTGTACTTCTACTTAATTCAAGCACAGAAATACTTTGCTAATTCAGACATCCTTATCCAAATCTCAATATATCCTTTGACGGTGTAGTTTACCTTTGAATAAATATTGAAGAAATAATTACAGGGCCGTATATGAATGATCATTATCAAATCATTTTGTAATTCTAAAAATATGGACGTATGTTGCTTTATGAAATTACAATAAAAAATTGTGTTTATGAAAAAAAGCTGGCTTGATAGAATTTTCTAGTAGACAAAAAATGCTTTAATAAATCTTATTAATTGTTTTATAAAAAACTTAGCTTGAATTTGAAAATAATAAAATGCATCTGTAATACGATAAGAGGAGAAATCAATAGTAAATGTAAATTGAAAGGCATAAAAAAAATTAGAGGGATTATAATAAACCGGGCCGAATAATTTCTCGGGTAATTATTATGCAACTTATATATTTTTTTACTCATTTATCATGACAAATACAATGATTTAAATACGTTAAAAATTTTTTACAAAAATTAAATCTTTAAAGCTTAAATCGATCATGAATTTTTATTATTTAATTCTTTATCCATTAAAACTTTCTATAAAAAGAAAGGAAAACCCGATTAATATTTCCATGGAATTATATCATAAACAGCTTTTGCTAATTCTTATATGGTGTTCATATTACATACAGTATACTTACGAATTTATATTTCAATGGAATTATTAAAAATTTCGAACTATCATGTGATTACGTAATTGAATATTAATTATTCAATTTAATAATTGGTTGCGAATGAACCTCCATCCTATTAAACTCAACTTTAGGAATTGCACTGGTTCCTTTGCGAAATTTTCGAATGTATTGGAAGTTTACATATAACGGTTAGATGATTAATGCAAGCAATTATTTTTTTTATAATTAGTTTACTTGCTTATTTTATCTATAAATTATTTGCCTCTTTGACATATTTTGCGAATAAAAAGTTAATAAATTAAGTAATATTAAAGAGAGAAATTTGTTATGGAAAGAAAATAATAAAGTGAAAAATAGTATATAACTAACTGTATAATAAAATATTATAGCTAATTACGGATTTTGTTTGCGTTTTTATATTATTAAACCTTCAAACAAAAACGTACTATTTTTTCAATCTGTTGCTGAAGAAATTTAGAAATGAATTTAATATACTAAAGTATAATAAAATAACAAAACACAACGCAGATAATGATATATATTTTGTTGTAAATAAAAGAAGTAAATTGCTGTTATAGAGACTGGACTCGTATTTGTGTAACTCGAGTCAACTCGAGTTAAATTTTGATTCAAGTCAAAATTTCATAGACTCGAATCTTGATTCGAGTAAGAATTCGAGTAGACTCGAATTATATATACTCGAGTTCACTACTCGAATTCTTACTCGAATTAACTAATTGAATTACTCGAGTGCTTTCTACACTCAAGATATTAACATTTTATAAAATTAGTTACGCAGTAATTCTTAATAATTAATTGAAAATGCGTAGTAACTCAAATCTTTAGAGTTTAGAAAATAAATTTATAATTATATAAAATGTATTTATAAATAATTATTTTTTTACATTAAAAATAAATACCAGGTATTTTTGTTCAAATTTCATATTGTAATTAATAAAATAAAGGTAGATCACAGGTCATTTCAAAATTTCGATGCTATTATGCATGCAAACTGAAAAATCGATCTTATATTTGTGGTTTAAAATTAATGAATGAAATTTTAATTATTTATATTTGTCTTAAGGAATTCCAAAGCAATTAACTAATTTAAACACAAACGATTTATCATGTACAACTTTAATTTGTTTATCCGAAATAAAAATAATATCATGAATTATCGCACTGAAATTTTTCACAAAATCGGGAAATCCTGGTTAAAAATTAGTTAAAATAACATCCGATAAATAATTAATGATCTTCGGTCTTTCTAACTTCTTCAAGAATAATGAGCAGTCACGCGGGACCTTTAAACTTAAATAGATAGCGTTTCTCTAGAAATTTTGATAATGATGAATATATTTATATTCCAAGTGAAAATGAAAGAACTGAAGAGGAATATGAGAAGCAAGAGGGATTAAAGTGTTCAGATACCGAATTACTTCAACTTCCTTCTAAATTACAACATTTTAATAAAAAAAAATCAACAAAAAAAGTAAAAAGACGAACAAAAGCAACTGCCAATATAAGGAAAAAAGTTGTACAACAGGAACAAGAAGAAGCATATAATAAAGATGAAAATAATAAAAGTAATATTAATATTGCTACAAGTTCAATACCTGAAAGTGAAATACCAAAAGGAGGTAGTTTTGTGTGGCATTACTTTCGTCATTCAGAAAACTTAATTACATCTACATGTGCTATTATTATGCATGATGGTAAAGAATGTGGCGTTTCTTATAATGATGGTTCTACAACATTAAATTTAATTAGTCATCTTGCACGAATTTCATAAGGTATATAAACTAAATGAGAAAAAAATAGATAATGAAAAATCTTTAAACCAATTAGATATACAAGATGCAATTAAAAATCAACGATTAAAAAAAGAAGAAGAATATGAAGAATCTCGTCAATTATTAGTAGAATTCATTTTGGATAACAATCAAGCATTTAATATTCTAAATTGCAAAAGTTTTCGTAATTTGCTATATTCTCTTGATAAGAATTTTATTGTTCCTTGTGATAAAACAATTAAAACTATGATTGGTAAAGCTTATATATGGAGTTGTATACAACTTAATGAGTTATTAAAAAGTGATTGTATTGCCGCCTCTATAACCACAGATTTTTGGACAAGTAGAGCAAAACAAGGATATATTAGTGTAATATGTTCTTGGATATCAATAGATTGGAAACCTAAGGAAGCAGTTTTAGAACTGAAACAGGTTCCATATCCTCATACTGGAGAAATTATATCACAACTTTTAATAGAAATTTTTGAAAAATGGAATTTAACTAAAATAATAATTGCATTAACAACTGATAATGATCTGAATATTAAAAAAGCTGCTTGAATAATGGAAAATATTAATTGCTTACCATGTGTTGCCTATACATTACAATTAACAGTTAGTAAAGAATTAAATATTATTAGAGTACTTATTTTACAAGTTAAGCAGCTTATTGATTTTTTTCATATATCACCTAAACAATCAGAAAGATTAAATGTGACACAAAAAGAACTTAATTATACAAATATTTCTTTGGTAACTGGAGATGTTTCTACTTGATGGAATTCTTCATTTTATGCCTGAAAAAGGTTATTAAGGCTCAAATAGGTCATGGACTAGCAAAATGTACTTCCGAAACTCCCTGTCAAAAAAATTTTTTTTTGATAAACATAAACTAAACATATTTAATTATACAAAATTTAATTTTTTAAGTTGTACAAGTATAATAAATTATTGATTTATTTCGATTGAAATTTTTGTCACTAAAAAAGATCGACTAATCTAAAATTAGAACACTTATATTTAAGGAAACGATCAAGATGATCATCAGCTAGTCCGAAAATTTACTTGGTAAATTCACGAATAATACATTTTGAGCGTCCTGATCTATCTTTTCTAATTTCTATCCGTTCAATCTTAAATTTCACACACTTATCATTTAGATCTTGAAATAGTATAATCTAGAATTTAATACAATTTCATCGTATACATACGCTTTTACCTCATTTCAAACTTTCGTCACTTTTTTTTCAGTATTATCATTGCAATGATTATTTACTACTCCGATTCTGAAACTTCAAATGATTTTATTATATAGAGTTTTTGGAATAGTACTAGAAAAGCTTATAAAAATCGTAAATTTTATTTTATTTTTACTTTTTTTTTAAAAAAAATATAATCTATCACTATTGGTTTAGGACACATGATATCCTAAAATGGTTCATCAACAAATTTTTGAATATTTTTATACAAATATTCTTGACACGTTAATAATAAAGGTTTAGAAGAAAATATAGCTATTAGAGCCTAAAATTTGAAATATTTGTTTTTTAAAATATTAAATCATTGAAATTCTCCTTCCGCCTCTTTTTGAGTAAATATTTTTCCTTTTTTAAACTAAAAATGTTGATGTTTTTGAATACCAGGTAAATTTTGAAAATGAAGTTTTAAAAATAATTCAAAATCATAATATAACTATCCATTTTCATTATTATAACGAATAGCATGATTAGAATTATTTTTAGTGGACTTTTTTACTACCTTTCAATATCATCTACTTTATTAACTTGTGTTTTTCAAAAAAGAGCTTTAATATTACCAAAATATCCATCTAGTAAAAATTTTGTATACCCTAGAACCATAAAACTAACTTCAATAGTTTCATACATTTCTATTATTGTTAATCAAGACCAAAAAAATAAAGAGAGATTGTTTTTGTTTTGAGCTATACAATTATCACAAGTGACTTTTAAATGCTGTTCTCTATGATAAAATCTGTTTAAAGCATTAAATACAAGACTAATAGTTGTATTAGCTCCTTTTTCTATAGAATTATTTGGAAATTCATCTTCACCAATTAAATAATTTAGTTGTTGCTTTTATTTTGTATTACATACTCTAAAAATATGTATCGCAAATGCTGTTTTGAAGTAAATTTGTCCAACTTGCTGTGGTGAAAAAGGAATAGGAATATTTTGTATCTAATCATAATAAATGTAAGCTATTTCTTTAGATGTATTACTAGTTATAATAATATTATTATAATATTGACGCTCCTTTTTTGCTTTATCTTGATGATTTTTCAAATCCAATGCTGCTTTATTTTTTTCATCAATATTTTTTGTATATTGAATATTTTTTTTTAATATTTCACATTTATCACATAAATCTGTATCAGGTGTTATAAATTTAATATGTGATGTGAGATTTTTTCAAAGTTGAACAAAGCTTTTATATGATATAATTGAAGTGCTATTATCTAATTCTTTACTAACTGCAACAAAATCTTCATATATACTAGCATAGCTTTTTTCAGTAGGTAATAAAATAACTGCCAAAGAATCAGTTTGCATATGACAGCCTGATGAGAGAAATCCATAAAAATTTGCATAATTAATAATAAAATTATAAATTTCAGTTGATAATTTTTGATTGATTGTAACTTGTGATGCTACTTTAGGAAGATTTTTTGTATTTTCATGTTGACGTCCTGTTAATCCTTTAGTTAATAAATGATTTTTAACTGCTCTTAAAATGCTATCTGAAATTCTAACAAGTTTAAGATAAGTATTTTTACATAAAGAAATTTCAGAATTAAAATGATAATCAAAAAATTTTCTATTTTTGTGACTATTAACTATTTTTTCATTATTAGAAAAAACTAATAATTGATCCATTAAAACAAAATCTAACTATGCTTTTTCTAAACTTCGAAATTTCAAATGTCTTTTGAGAAAAGCTTTAAACCCAATTTTATCAAAACATTTTTTTTTTTGTTATGACAAGTACAAATAGCAAGAGAAAAAAATTGTTATAAGTCATTAATAACTATATGCATAAGTTCGTTATCTTCATATTGTTCTAAAGAAATATGTTCAACAAAAAGAAAAAAATTTTCTTTATCATTATCATTATTAAAGTTAGACATGGTAGGACAAAAGTTTATTATGTCTGATAAACAAACAATTTTGAAATTGATCGATATATTGCATTTTATGCTAAAAATAAACTAAAATTCAGGGGTTAAAAAATAAGGTAATTTTATGTTGATCTGTAATTTTCTC